TAGGGTTGGCACTGGAGTCGTACGAATAATCGGCCGAGGCATGGAGCCAACTGTCTGTCGAGGTGCTTAATGAGCTATAAGTAATTATAGAAGCGATTTTTTCTGTAGAGAACAACGAAGTTTCATCATTTGCCGATAAACAGGATCTAATTATCTTCGGACGCAAAGCAAGTATAGTACAGGAGCAGAGGAGAAGTATAGGAGTATACGAGAAACATCATACCATATCAGACGCCAACCTGCTACCATTGCGCAGATTATCGCTTACTATTTTTATTTCAACAATGAAAATCGTCTATAGGAGAATCATTTGTATGGCTACGAACTATTCTTAGAGTCGGGCGGTTTCTGAGACTGTGCTTGTCATAAGAATAATGTTGCTTCAGGAATGGCTGAAATGTTAACTTTGAACCCAATATCAGCATATTCTCTAGTCAAGCTTGTTTTTCTTGAAGCGTTTTGTGTACGAAGAGAAAACTAAAAGAGGAATCCCGAGGTCGATAAATAGCCATCTCCAATGGCTACGCAATAGTAACCCCATGAGAAAAGTTTAGAAGGAGACGACGTACCAAAAGAAAGCACTTGGATAAAAGAAAATCCCTTTTATGTCGACTTTTACCAGTGGTAAAGTAAGTGCAGCTATAAAACGAAACTTAATAAGGGAAGGCCTAAAAAATTGGTTTCGGTAGTTGAAATACCACTGGATACTCTACATCGTTAGTTAGTTTGCAACGGCCTGTACGGACGCCTATGTAAAACACAGAATTGCGTAATCTGCTCTTACGGCAGGAACGCTGACTGCATTTCAGGCAAGATATACCTGATCTCTTGTAATAACTGTGGAAATAAATATACTGGCGAAGCGGACACAGTTTTGTGTATCCGTATAAAAGAACACCTAGATGGCAAACGAAAGGTAGGACTGGACTAAGTACCCCACTATGGACGCACAGGACACAAAAGCATAACAGAGACGATTTTAATGCAAAATTTTTATAGTAAATCTTACGACTGACTTTCTATTAACCTCGGCACTAATAAAGTAATTTTTCGTATTTTTGTTGAGCAAACTCGAGGTGCTATTTTATTCTTTATTCACGAACAAACGGACATTTCGGTGGATTTCACCTTCCTCAGAGCCTGAAAAGGTCAAGTTGACAGCAATCTACTCAGCCAAGCACCTTTATTACCAAACAGAGAAAGCTCTAAACCAAAATTTCAATAACATTGAACACAGAACAGCTTCTTTGCACACTCACTGCTTCCTACGAGTCTTCCGCTGAGCATGTCGCGTGAAGACCAATAGCACAGAATTCACATGGAAGCGTAAGTTGCGTAACTCCAGGGAGAATTGTTCGAGCAGCATTCTACGACATTCAAGATGAAGTGCAAATCCTCAAGCAGCAACCGAAGCCACAGGTAAAGTTGGAAGATCTTCATGGACAATGGATGCGAAGAAACGAATTGAATGTGCGAAGTTCATATTTGGTGGAAGACTCATAGAAAGCGGTGAGTATGCAAAGCTGTGTTCAATTGTTTCCAGGATCGACTTTCTATTAACCTCGGCATTGGAATATGAATGTGTTGTTTTCTTGTTCAGCAATCGCGAGGTTTTTAAACAGCATACATTTACTTCCATAGAAAGCACAATACAATACAACACTAGCTGATGTTTCGGCAGTATCGCCTTCTTCAGAGCCTGGAAGGGTTAGCTGTGTTCAATATGATTGAAATCTTGGTTTAGCATTTTTTCTGTTTGGTTATAGAGGTGTTTAGACGAATAGATTGCTGTTAACTTGATCTTTCCAGGCTCTGCAGAAGGCGAAATCCGCCGAAACGTCAGTTTGTTCGTGAATAAAGAATAAAATAACACCTCGCGTTTGCTCAACAAGAATAGAAAAAAATTATGTGTTATTGAGGGGTTTCGCATAATAAACTGCATATCAATATACCCTTCCACGCTCAGATGAAGGCGATGCTATCAAAACGTGAGCTACTGTTGTGTTGTACGCGTTTTTTTCATGGAGCCAAACGATTACTGTACAACGACCTCACGATTGTTGAACAAGAAATTTATAACCGATTGCGGAGGCTGATAGAAAGTCGATCCTGAAAACTGCTTGCATGAGTGCTTCTATTTCAAATTAATCAAGAGCTTTCCATAAGTCGGCGAAAATGAGGTAGATTGGCCTCCTGTAATCCGGCGATACGTCGAGTCCTGTTATTGTGTAGGCGTGGTCCATTGTACTGAAAACCCTTTTCCAAACCCTGTTTGCTCACATGGATGTTTTTTGTCCAGTGTTCTATCATCGTCTTTAGGACGGCTCGAACGAAAAGTTTGTAAACGACCCACAGTAGGCGATAGTAGATTGAGCGATAGTTGCCCATGTCGTGGAGGTCACCCTTGCCTCAACAGTTAACGTGTAGAGAGCCGAGCCAGTGTGTTCATGAGAACTAGAGGAAAGTTCTTCAGGTGTGCAAATGTTATCCTCTTAAGACTTGCAGTACATGGTATCTGACAAGATCAATCCAACATTTGTTTGTATTGAATTCGCGCGAGTAGATGAAAGTTTCATTTTGTAACAACCACACGTGAACTGAACACATGATAAATATCAAGAAGTACTCCCTCCCCGTTCCACCCTTAAGACCTCTTTAAACATCGTCTCTTCGTCACACACCGCATCCAATACATTCACTGCTTCCATGGATTTCTCTTCACAAAATCCACACTGAAATGAACAAACAAGCATGGAGCTACGCGGATCTCTATGACATGAGAAGATGCTGATGACGTCTTTCAGAACTCTAGTTTCGGCGGAGTTCGTTTCACGAGCAAGAGAATACTGCCGGTGAAGACAGCACTCACAAACGTTACTATCGCCTAGCAGTTGTTTATAAAAAGAAGTCCAGGAAAAAAGAGAGAAGTCTGCTTTCTTCAGATAAATCTGGTGGCCAATTTGCTGAACTCGGAGAGATGAAGGGCTTGGTTAGCCCGAAGCGAGGAATCGAGAGAATGATCATGTATTCATCACAGCGCTACACGCGCTAACTCGTCCGTTTCGTAGCTAGAAGAATTGTTTTTGCCAAATCGGATATCATTTTACGAAAATGATTAGATATTACATAAAAAAATGGAATAACCAGATTCTATAAGATGGGCGCGTGTGGAGCAGTGGGCCGATGAATTTGCAACACACACAGGATCGCTTCTCGCCCCTTGACTCACCAAGCCTTCCATCCCTCCGGGTTCGGGAAATTGGTACCAGACTTGTCTTGGACTATAGCAGCGCTGGTTCAATACATCACTTGGCCATCGCGAGTCATCGTGAAGGCCAGATATGTGTTCAGTCACCTCCAAACGGTGCTTAATGAAGTCGAATGCATGGCGCAGCCCTCAAGGATTGATCAACGTCGAGAGTTTTATCCTTCTATTCCTTTATAAGATAGACAATACGTTGTTCACTCGCTGTCGCTCACAACCTCCACCTCTTAGACGAATTTCACTTCTGTTTCACAGTGATGACGCCGAGCAGATGAGAAAAGATCGAAATCTTTGCCTGCAACGGGAAGCCCTAGTGAAACGGGGCGAAGGCGAACGAGACTGTCAGTAACTACATATTTCGCCAGGTTTACGAAATGACTATCCAACATTGCCTTTTGCAGTCAGCTTCATGCACTCTGTAGCATGTGATCATTCAAAACATCTACACCAGGAACACTCATGGAATGCTGACATCGTGAACAAGGAAGGCATAAAAAGTGGAGTTTTACGTCGTTCCCTCTTCAATGTCAAGGAATGTCAGCCTCTTTTTGAGACGGTAATACGTTGTGAGTAAACTGCTTCGAAAGAAGGGATGCAAAGTCGTGGAAAAAGAGTTCGAGGGCAAACAGCTCACTGTGAACAATCAGAAGAAAGTAGTTCCGGTACAAAACATCATCTCCAACTCGGTGTGAGGGAGGGAGACAGATTTGTTTCCGAAAACGTGGCAAGTTTCGAAACAAAAACACTTGGTTTCCAACAATTTCAGTAAAGGCTAGTGTAGAAGCAGATTTCGTCCGAAGGTGTTGCAAAACTTGCAAGCGAAGTAGAACCCCTAAGCAAAAACGTCGAGCAGAATCGAAATCGGATGTGCAGTGGGGAGGCAGAAGAAACTCTCTGCTCGTCGGCGAGTACTAATTGTTCAGGGTTGCACTCCATACAGAACACGTCCTTGATTTACCCTCGGTTGTCCATGTAGTACAGGAGCTGTTGGCCTATTATAGACAAAGAACAAAACACTGAGTCTGTGAAACGAAAGCCACATCCACAGTAATTTGAAGCGAAGGAAATAGAGAGTATGGGCAGGCGTGCCAATCTGAAAAGCCCTAGAATACGAAGCTCTCAGCTCCTGAACTGAACGACGGCTTAACGGCAGTGGTGGATTTTCACGATCGTTAAGTACGTCCATGTTAGTATTTCGACCATGTTGGAGCGTTCTGCCGTGTTTAACATCTGTAAAAAATTAGACCACACAATCATACGAGTTTGCATTGGAACCAATGCGGTAAACATCAAAGATAATCTGATTTTGTACGAACGTAAATTTGTTCTGGGGATTACTTACGAAAATCCCAGCAACCACAGAGTTTTAACTCTCAATAAACATATAATATCGTCTCGGCCATTCTTTCCTCAGCAGCTCAAATAAAGGCGGACGAATTGCGAGTTCAAGAAACCGAATGTCGCAGTAATTCACTGGATGCTGAATGACTGTCGAGACGTACGACCGACCGCTGAGAATTGTTGTTGGTACGATAACAAAGGTACCCTCGGGAAAGGAACGCAATGCCTTCACTGATAAATCTCTAACTGATTGCGTGAAGGTCGGTCATGACAAATGGAACAAGAATAAACAGTTCTGCTACGATCGAGTTATGGAACGAAGTTGTTAAACTGCTAAACCTTGAGAAAACGGCTTAAAAACCGTGATTCGCTGTTATTGCACAGCTTTTTGGAAATGAGGTGTTCTATCTGGGTAGCAACAGCTCTTGTTGCTGTGGCTTATTGGTAAGTTTATACGCCTTCTTGGTTCTATATTTTATTAATTTAGTTCCAAATTTTATTTGTGTACTTCCAGCCAATACGATATCGAGGAAGGACATTCAGATGGGAACATCTACCACCAAAGTGGTGAGTTTTCCAAAGATTTCTTCTCGAAACATAGCCCAGAGTCACTCAGCCTGATTTTTTTACACTCAGGGGTAAAAACAAATGACAGTGTTTCGGATCTTGCCAAACGACTAGTTTTAGGAGGATTCGATTACGTTTATGGACCATTCTACGGAGGTATGGTGCCATTTTACGGTGGCGGATTAGCAGGTTTTGGTGGGTACTCGAAATTTATTGAAAATGATTTAATTGTCTTTCCTAACAATGGTGTTGACAAAATGTATGAAAAACGGATTTGATTCACAGTACTCATATACAGGATATCAAGAACCAACACCAAGCGGCTATCAGCAACCACCGCCTCCATTGCCGTATAGTTATCCGCCAATGCTACCCGCTGTCGATTACCACCAACTAATTCCACCTGTGTGTACTTCACCTAACAATTTTTAACCATGGCAAAACAACGCATTTATCGTTTTAGATCTGCTGTGATTATCTTCGTCCAACAATAGTTTGTCAACCTTTCGATGGTGCGTTTGTTGTTGCTCCTCCACCAATTTCCAATCCGTCTAAACATCAAGTATTCGCAGACGTCAAGTCAATGCAAAAGATGGCGAGCCGAAAAAAATTGTTCAACAAGTCTTAGCAAGTTTTGCATATAATATTAATTCTATTACGTCATCGGTATTAAATGGCATAAAGATATTATAGAACGCCGAATTTTCTGACCTACATTGATTACCACCGCACTTTCAGTGCAAATTTCTTTAAGAGAAAATAGGAACTTCTGAGGAAAAAGTGGTCGTTATAGGTTTTGGAAAAACGTTGCCGTTTTCGCAAAAAGCACTGGGCGTGTTGTAAAAAATTTTTTTTGAAAAAAGCGAATAGAAGCATGATCATCATTATTTTTTAGTTTGCGCTCTCATTTAGTGGACTGTTCGGTTGAAAGGGCAAGAAACTGGCCCTAGTTTTACATAATGGTACGACTGATGCACCATAGCTACCTACGATTAACACACATATAGCATTGGAGAGGGGTCGTGGAGAGCAATGGTTAGTGGAGCGCTGCAATGCAGACGGGCCCGTTCCTTCGCCGTAGGCTCAACAAGCTTCTATCCATCCGGGATCTGCTAATTGGCACCAGATCTGTCTGGGAGGGTAACAGTAGTGGCACGATATATCGGTAGCCCACTGCGAAGCATCAAATAGGCCTGATATGCACTCAGTCACCTCCAACGATACTCAATGGAATTGAATGCATGGTGAATTGAATTGAATGCATACTTCAGGGATTGATCAACGGCGACAGCTTTATCCTTTCAATGGTGTGTACCACTACAATCAAGGTCTCGCATATTTGAACTTTTTTCATAAGACAAGCGCGCTTTTAAAATGCGATTTTCTTCTGCAGAATATCAGGTGCAGATGCGTCCACAAGTTGGTCTGAAAAATTGAAAATTTAAAAACTGAAGGATTGAACTTTGTTTTCGTAGTTTCTGAACCGTTCCCTTCTTTAAGCAAAATGAATAGATTACACGTTAAAATTTGACTTTTTTAGGGTTCTCAAGTTTTCCAAGTTTTTCATACACCGAGACCTATGACGCGAGAGATATATGAGAAATTTGGTACTTGTAACGCTTTCTTAGAGGTGCCCTGAAAGTCATACTTAATCACCCCTACTTCGATCACAAGTCGCTGGCTTACTAGCCTACTAACTTACTCTTTATGCCTCCGACACCAGCAAGCTGCCCTCTGAGATGTTTGGGATTGTAGAAGAACAATATCACTCCTCGACCGCTCTCCGGAAGATAATGTATAAGCAAAATATGGATCCAGTAGACATAACCCTGTTGGAGTCGAGTGCACGACGCATTCCTTAGGGTTTGATTAACACCGATCGCTCTGTTCTTTAAGAGTCATTATTTTCTAAAGAGAAACCGGTTAACGCAACTAATAAGCGAGTGAGCCAGCAGTTATGTGAGTTAAGCAGATCGTTAGAAACTTGCATGGGACCTACTTAATCTTAGGTAGATTTTCGGACTGGTTGTAGATTTTTCGATGAGTTTCCACGTTTTTCTGTGATATCTACTTCCCTTTCTTTCATTTCGGTTGTTTATTCGCAAGCTGATTCGAGTGGGTGGAGGATTTCGACAACCAAACTTATAGATGACAAGCACAAGTGCAAAAAATGGAAGAAATTTGGAAACAAGGGCCAGTAGTTTTGAAACCAGCCGTCGTTAAACCTCGGTAATAAAATAATCAACACTGATAAGAGATGTGCTGCCTTCCTCAACTGAGGATGGTCCGGTTGGATGTGAGACGAAGGCGCCACATCGAGAAGAGGAAGAAGTGTGGACCATCGACAAGGATCGTCGGCTGTGATGAAGACGAAGACTTCGAAACGCTAGCCGAGTAAACATCCCTTATCAACCTCGTGTAAGCTCAGCAATATAAACGATTGTTAAGAACCAATAGTTTAATAAAGTGGAAAAAAGCTGTAAAAATTGTTATCCGCAGCTTGATATTAATCATTTTATAGCTTTCCCATTAAAACTTTCAAAAAAACTGAAGCCCAAGAAATAGCTGAGAGGTAAAACGAAGGACCTGCATGGTGTGATGGTGAGCGCGTTAGTCCTCGGAAGGGGTAACAGCGCGCTCATTCTCCACCGCAGAACCTGCTGGCGAAGTTTTGCAAATATCTCAGCATCTTTGTGGTTGAGGTCGATCAGTTTATTTTCGCATAAAGATTTCCTACAGTTGAGGTTTCCACTGGAGCTACAAATTGAAGTATCTTTACAATAACACTGACAATAACAAGAATAATGAAATTTTATTTGAAAACATCAATAGTACTGAACCTTGATGGGTCTGTGCGAAAAACACTTCTGCCATCTCACTCAGTGCAGCAATTGGTTACCGAAAACTTGTTTTTTAGAATAATGCTGGTAGTCCAAAGCAATCAAATTCTATCTATTGTCTATCGGGTTCTCGACTAACCGCTGTCGTTCTACAGGAATTTTAATGGCAACACAACAATTTATTTTCGGTTGACATAGGTAAGAAACTGGATGTGGTGAACACCTGAAGACCTTTCGAAAGCTGTAGATGGAGACAAAAACCAATTTGAGATAAGTCTGAAAGAAAAAGAAAGACCTTCGTTTTAAAACATAATTGCTTGATCGAGGAAACTAGAACTATCGGCACTACAGAAAAGCTAATCCTAATCACTTAATGAAGCCTCTCATTCATTAAGCCCTGATTTGTTTCCAGGTAATTTTATAGGTCGTGATTTTAGATGGCATATAAAGCCGTGAAGTCTACTGTGAAACATTAAATGTTGGTGATTCAAATTACAAAGCCAAAGAATAAAATCTGCGAAAAGCTTGCAGAGAATACTTTCACGAACCCTGTTCTTTGATCAGATGACGGTATTGGTTGTTTTAGGCCCAAGTTATGCTGTAGTTCCGAGTCAAATATCTCACAGCTCCCGAATTTTTCCGCATCCTGCACATCTGCAACTTTGTAGTCCGCCAACTGCCGACCACCATAGTCTGCCATCTTCACTTCCACCTTCGTTACCACACAATACAACGGAACGAGTGCTACGTTCACCTTCTTCAGCATATAATCACCAGTCCCCCTTCAACGCCACACGAATAATATGACGAATTCTGTATCACTACATAATAGCAGGATCACCATGTGTCTTCTGACTGATACAAAAAGCTTACACGTCTCTCACGTCTTATAACGTTTCAGCTCCACTTACACGTGAACTATATAACAAACCAATACCAGCCACAACTTGTTGAGCAGAATAATCTAAACTGCCATTACCTAAACCGCTAAAAGTCACCACTTCCTAACCACGGCGTCGCGCGCCAAATACAGTTTTTTTTCTGCCATATTGTTGAGGCATAGGGCAGTTCTGTTCTGAGTCTTGGAAAACTTTTAGCAAGACACCAAAACATGAGTACTGAAAAGCAATAGCTATTTTTCGAAAAAAAGAAGCAAATCTATTAGATTGTTCAGAAATAACCTAGCGTTTATAGCTATATTTTTTAGAATTTCATAACTTGCTTTATTAGCAAAAATTAGAGCCTTTCGAATTTGCAGATTTTCTCCAGCAGAAACAAATTTACTTATTCCAAATGTCTAATATTCTGGAGTTCAAAAAGCGATGAATTCGTTGAAGGTATTTTTTGCGACATCGAGGTTGGCGAAGCACTTCTCGAGTAGGAAAATATCAAGATGCTTGAAGAACTGACAGTTAGTAGGCGAGAGGTCTGATGAATTTGGCGGGTAAGGCAAAGTTTCGTAGTCCAACTCGCTAAACTTCTGCAGCGCTAGTTCGCAACATGAGACTGGGCTTTGTCGTGGAGGATTGGTCCTTTCTGCTGACTAGTGACAGTCGCTGTGGGTGGAGTGTACGGTGCATTTCGTCGATTTGTTGGCAATACTTCTCTGCCGTGATCGTTTCGCCCGGATTCAAAAAGCTGTGATGAATCAACTCAGCTGCATCCACTGAACAGTCACCATAACACTTTTTTGGTGTAATTTCGGCTTCGGGAAGTGCTGTGGACCTTGATCGCAGTCCAACCATTGTGCTGAAAGCCACCGAATGTCATACAGAATCGAGTTCTCGTCGCGGGTCATAATTCGATTAAAAAAGAGTTCTTTTTGTTGAGCAGAATAAGAGCAGAGGACACTTCAAAACGGTGATTTTTTTATTGTCGTTTAATTCGTGCGGCACCCACTTGTCGAGTTTCTTTGTCTTTCTTATACGATTCAAGTGAGTGGAAATTGTTGCCGTACTTACGCCAAGCTGTTCTGCAAGCTCTCGAACAGTTGTTCGCGTGTTCACTTCCATTAGTGTCCTCAATTCGTCATCGTCAAGTTCATTTTTACGCCCGCGCCTTCACTTATATTCGAGGTCAAAGTCACCAAATCGAAATTTCCGGAGCCATGCTTGCACTAAGATGATGCTGAGATATTTGCAAAGCTCCGGACCGCAGGTGTCTGCGGTAGGAAACCAACGCCCTACTGCTCTCTTTGGGGAGTAACGCGCTCGCCATCACACTATGCGGGTCCTTCGTTTCGCCTATCTCTCACCTAGTTCTATCGATCAGCGTCATCAACAATTACCCATCAACGGGGTTGATCTAGGGAGCCTAAATCGAAACGAACTATCATCTTAGTTGCATTTCCCATGATACCCTTTCGTTAACAATTATACTAGGCAGTAAATAAAAAAAAGGTCAAGACATGTTTTCACTGTCGATTCACCAACACTACTTTCACCTTTACCGCAAACGTCATTATTGTTCGGAGCCGTCTCTGCTGAACTACGACCGAGTTTGAACTCATAAAAGAATATCTGACGAAAATTCGTTTTCGACATCTCGAAATGCAAAGCTCAAAATTGGTTTTAAAAACTTGGCTTTTGACAAAACGTAAATGCTGTTTGAAAGTATGAAATTAGCTTTGAAAAATATGTAACCATGCTAGGCATGAAAAAATATCTTAGTGACAAAAAGTGCGTAGTCTTTTAAATCGCTCATTTATTTCTGAGCAACCTAATATTTTGTCCTCTAATCTGCCACCCTGGTTACTCGAGGATGGTTGCTATTCCTTGCATGGGTGTACATAATTATTGGCTATTTGCGTTTAGTTTTGGATTGTTTAAAGTTTCGTGATATCCTTAGGAGATAAAGCACTTACGTAAGTCGCAATTAGCAACCCGTTAGAGGTAGATTAATATTAGTTTTCGTAAAATTATTGGTTGGAAGCGTTTGAATACTTCACTAAATACGCCTATCCGCTCATGTAGAAACGAGACGGTTGTCTAATTATCTAGTATACTATTTTTACTATGAGAACACGGTTGATGTTCTTCGCAAAGCAGAAACTTCGCCGCTTCGATACACCACTCGAGCTAGCTCAGCTCCACGCACCGGTGTCGGTAGATTGCTACCAGACTTGTCTTACAATGCGCATAAACAGGCTTAATACATCAGTAGACCACCAATAGTCACTGTATAGGCCAAACATCCATTTAGCCACTTCTGGATGGTTCATCAACGCCGAACCCCTTACTTTTTAACCTTCATATTAATCTTCGCAATCGAAAGTTTGAAACAAAAACAAATCTGAAGATGTAGCCTTATGTCAAAATTCCTGTCATCGGAATTTAAATGGTGGTGAAACACTTAGATTAAGTCATTCGCTGCCAGTAAGGCGAAGAAGTTCGCTACTACTTTTTTTCAATGTGTTACAAATGTGCATCAGTGTTAGAGAACATTTGTGGCAATACTTAAGTTTTAGGTTGCAAACTTTATTGAAGGCCATCAGTAAGTAAATTCGAAGACATTTCATCGCTTAACCTTACAGTGCCAATCGTCGTCTCACAACAAATCGTCGCAATTTCATCCATTTGTACTTTTTTCCATCTGTAATTAGAACGTTGCAACGATCAAACAGTTGTTTGTTAAAGAGTAAAAAATGTGAGATGCGTACATTTAAACTGAGATCCACTTCCATCTGTTTCCATGATCCTAATTGGTGCCCCTACAAGAAAAAGTTGGAAAGATTAAGAAATACTTTACGAGCTAGAACAGTATTTTTTACCGGATGGTGAAGATTGTGAGTATTTTGAGACCATCGGTGAAGGTGGGTATTCTGGCTGTGAAGACGAATAAGGTGATGGTGGCGGAGGAAGTGGTGGAGGTGGCAGTCCAGATGCTGGACCCACTGAAGGCTCTTGCCAAGCCTGCGGATACATTCCTTGAGACGAAGGCAGTGGAGCTGGGAAATAGTAGCTTGGAGGTGACGGAGGCGGCAGTGGCGGTGGCTGTGGTGGTGCTAAGGTTTGTGGTTTCGCAGAATCATAACCAAAACCGTCACCTTTACCATAGATATCTGGAGGAGCTGTTACATAGCGATCACCTGAAGCAGGTATTTTTGTTGCTTTTTTTTCAAGAAAGATGTTTGCACTTTCGATTTGCTCACCACCAGCTATTTTGCTTCCATATGAGGACATGTATGAACTGCAACTAGAAAATTTCAGCGTTAAAGACAAGGCTCAGACAAGAAATTTTGATTATCACTGACCTGCACAGGTGGAACACGATGAAAAGAAGCGCTAGACATTGAGACATGGCTTTTCACTGGAATTTCAGCAACATTGAAGGCATTTATACTTGTCGACTGAAACTCGTTTCGGTTGTTTTTCGCCCATCACCGGTGAGCAGTCTTGTTAACGCAGTACATCGCCATTTTTCCTGACATGAGAAATCAATTTCAAGATGAGCACAATAATGCACCAGAACAACTTTGTGTTTCTAAGAACACTTTGATACGCCTTCTCGCATAAAATCCCAACCCGAAACTATCACAATCGACAGCTGCGCAGTAAGTTGAAATCTTATAGGATTTATCTACCATTTCAATCCTTTTATTTCTTAGTTCATCCGTCTGATGATGATTTATCTTGAATTCCTCTTAACAGCCAGAATTTGAAATAGTTTTGTGGATTTGCCCCTCTCCTCTTAAGGCTGAAGATCCATTAACGCTAGCAAGCTATGAAATTGGGCTAGCGCAACGAACTTGTGCTTCAATATAAACTATCGATTCCAAATTTTCAGTGTTTTTCTCATTATTTTACAATGTTTATATGGATATTTTGTTCTCTCAGAAGTCTATAAATTCTGCAGTAGATGAAGCTATAAATTTTATCCCATAATTCCTGATGTCAATCACGGACGAAAAACGTTAACACTACCATGAAGGAGAAGGATAAATGATGGACCCCTTCGCCTTGATCAACCTCCAGATGAGGCGCTATACATCCACCTCAAATCGTAGCATCGTAAATGTGGTCCAATGCATACCTGATTTATCAGGTGAGTTATGGTAACATATCAGTGTGTTCAGCCAGTGTTTTTACCATACCATTCAAATCTGGTAGCAATTTTCCGACACCGGAGAAATGAAAGGCTTTATTCATCCAAAGAGCAGGATAGAAACAATAATGGCGTTTGTATAGAAGAGCACTTCTAACCACTGCGCTGCGCAAGCCATAAAGTACGATGCAATAAATATAAAGGCCATTTCATAAGCCTTTTTTTTAACATGCAAGTCTTTTTTCTTTCGTTGTGTTTCCGTTTTTTTGTGCGAAGAATCTCGAGGAAAAGATACGTCATTGCATTAGTACTTGCTCCAGCGTAGGTTCAACTTATTGAAATAATATCCTCAACGTTGGTAGTATGCTGGTGTACACTTGTATAAGCATTGTAAGCTTACTTGTCCTCTATCGATCATTGTTACTGTGCAGCGTTTTTTTCAAAGTTGATGAGTTTTCTAATTCCCATCACCCTGAAAGCACACCTGCAAGAGGCATCGTGAATGAAAGGAAGTGATCGTTGAAGAAAGCCATTCAGACCGCTATGCGTCGAGCATTGAACATATTAAATTATATGTCATTCTCTTCCCATGATTATTTTTGTAATCGCTCTGACTTGAATTTCTCAGTCTTTGAAAAGTACTGTTATAAGGAAAAAGAGCATTGTTCCTACGATATGACAAATAAGATCTGCACGAAATCGCTCATGGTAGAAGTTAAAGGATAAGACGGCCAGAGCCTTTCAGTAAATGGCAGAGATTTCTGCGCCATTGAAGTAATTGAAGAGCTTAGGTTTCCGCAAATTTATGCAAGAGACTTTATTGTGATACAACCACGATGGGGCCGAAATATTCGCAAAACATTGGAACGCATGTGTATGCGGTGGACAACGAACGCACTATTACCGTTTCCGGGGTCTAACGCGTTCACCACCACACCAAGCGGTTTCTTTGTTTCTCTGTTTTTCATTTATTACTTTATTGTATTATTCCAGTCAAATGGGCCGAAAATAAAACTTTAAATCCCGTCAGAGTTTCAAAATTTCCAACTCGAGCACGCTTTTTTTCTTGAGAGCAACGACTAGCGCACAATATCTTTGTATGCAAACCACGATAAATTGCACCTTGCAGGAGAACATCTTAGATGCTCTTGGCTATTATCCATCAACAAAATTTAGTGAAGGCTTAGATCTATTGATATGAGGCTTAAAACAGCCATTGTTTTGTAACTGGGTGCATTGTAGCTCATGCTTGTCGATTTCTGTTTGCCAAACACTGCGGGGTGATTGAATGCTTTATGGTCTACAGAATAACTCCTAGGGACCTATCGTTGTATCAATTCAATGTTTTCTTATCCCACCGGAAAAATCGATACAAATTTCCTAACGCCGGAGCGATGGCGAGGTTTGCTACTTTTTACGAGGTCTCGCCGGATCGAACTATCAACCATCTTTGTACTACAAAACATCAAAAAACCATCAAATACAAAACCACTGCATACCATATCACTCGCACCACATAACATACGTTTTATTCAGTTGTGTTGGTGTACTTCCTTCTTAGAATTCTTCTTGTAACAATAATATCGAGAAGTGATTGCTTTCAGTTTCCTCCTTATTCACGTTGAATGATGTTGACGATTTAATGGTTTCTGAACTAAAAAATTTCCATTGAACAAATCGACTAGAAGAACTACAAGTAATGGGCGCAACAGTCCATTCACGTCGAGGTTATAGTGCTCAATGACCCTATGAATGATGTGACGCATAAGTTTATGCTAATACTTTTTGTGCTCTTGTGCAAAGGAAAATTAATCAAGGAAACACGAGGTTTTTAAACAGCATACATTTACTTCCGTAGAGAAACACAATACAGTACAACAGTAGCTGATGTTTCGGCAGTATCGCCTTCTTCAGAGCCTGGAAGGGTATGCTGATGTACAATCTACTAGGCCAAACGATTCAATCACACTTACAAAAAAGCGAAAAGCTCTATGGTGATCAACAGCTTCTCGAAAAACCCACCGCTTTTTCGTGACTTCCAATGAAGAAGTTTAGAACAGCTGATTATAGTCGCATGTGGTTGACGACTGCACCATCCCACATCAAAAATCGATGCGAACGTACGGGATCAGGTCGCGTATGACCTCCGGGCATTCATCCCTGCTATTCATTGTAGGGTTTTTGGCATTTATCCAAAAAGCCCCAAGGAGTTTTCGCGCTGCTGTTTTGGGCTCTTGTGGAAGGATATTGACTTTTACTTCAAAATCGTCTCCGCTATGCTTTTGTATCCTATGCGTGCCTAGTGGGGTACTTTGTCTCAGTTTTTGTTTGCCATCTAGGTGTTCTTTTATACGGATACACAAAGGTCTGCCCGTTTCGCCAATATATTCATCTCCGCAATTGTTACAAGAGATCAGGCATATCGTACCTCAACTCATGCAATCACCGTCCCTGCCGTAAGGGCAAATTACGCAGTTTGTTGTTTCCCATAGAATAGAAGTCACGTAAAAAGCGGATGTAAACGTAAACGTTACCGCACTGTACACCAACGTGTCGAATGACTCCGCAATTCAAGTCATCTTAGAAATTTTCGTTGAACATGAAAGAAGAATAAATATGCATGGCTTGTCCATCCAGCAGCTAAAGGCTCTCTTAAAGGAGTGCCTAAACTGCTCGATTTTCAGATGGTCTGGGAAATATATCGCGCGAATAAGGGGGTTGGCAATGGGACAGCGATTGGCACCAAGCCTTGTCATTGTGTTTATGTCTAAGATAGAAGCCCCCGTTCTCGATCTCCGGCCACTACTCTACTGCAGATATGTAGATGATTGTTTTGTCCTCTTCTCTACGCAGGAGGAGATGGACAAATGCTTTGAATTATTGAACGAGCAGTCCGAGTACATAAAGTTCACCCGGGAGAAACCGAGAAAAAACTAGCTTCCGTTTTTGAACGTTCAAATAAACCTATCAAGTAGCGGTTACCTGACAAAGTGGTATCGAAAGCCAAGTAACAAGATCATCCTCGTTCATTTCCTTTCTTCCCACCCTTCACACACAAAGAGGGCGATTGTGAGAAACATGTTTCGAACAGCCACCTCTGTGTGCACTACCAGGGAACTGAAGGAAGAATCGCGCGACTTGGCTCGGCAAATAGCCATCTCCAATGGCTACGAAATAGTAACCCCACGAGATAAGTTTACAAGGAGAACGACGCGCCCACGCGAAACACTTGGCCAAAAGGAAGCCCCGTTTACGNCATTGTGTTTATGTCTAAGATAGAAGCCCCCGTTCTCGATCTCCGGCCACTACTCTACTGCAGATATGTAGATGATTGTTTTGTCCTCTTCTCTACGCAGGAGGAGATGGACAAATGCTTTGAATTATTGAAGGAGCAGTCTGAGTACATAAAGTTTACCCGGGAGAAACCGAGAGAAAACTGGCTTCCGTTTTTGGACGTCCAAATAAACCTATCAAGTAGCGGTTACCTGACAAAGTGGTATCGAAAGCCAAGTAACAAGATCATCCTCGTTCATTTCCTTTCTTCCCACCCTTCACACACAAAGAGGGCGATTGTGAGAAACATGTTTCGAACAGCCACCTCTGTGTGCACTACCAGGGAACTGAAGGAAGAATCGCGCGACTTGGCTCGGCAAATAGCCATCTCCAATGGCTACGAAATAGTAACGCAACGAGATAAGTTTACAAGGAGAACGACGCGCCCACGTGAAACACTTGGCCAAAAGAAAGTCCCGTTTACGTTGCCTTTTATAAGCGATGAAGTACGCGTAGCTATAAAACTATGCTTAAGAAGGGCAGGTCTAGAGGAATCGGTAGCGATAGTTGAAATACCACCGGCTACTCTACGTCGCCAATTAGTTCGCAACCGCCTGTATGACCGTCTGTGTGAAACAACAAATTGCGTAATTTGCCCTTACGGCAGGGACGGTGACTGCATGAGTTTAGGTACGATATACCTGATCTCTTGTAACAATTGCGGAGATGAATATATTGGCGAAACGGGCAGACCTTTGTGTATCCGTGTGAAAGAACACCTAGATGGCAAACGAAAATTAAGACGAAGCACCCCACTAGGCACGCATTGTATACAAAAGCATAGCGGAGACGATTCTGAAGTAAAAGTCAATACCCTTGCACAGGAGACTGAAACACCAGCGCGAAAACTTCTTGAGGCTTTTTGGATCAACGCCAAAAGCCCTACAATGAATAGCAGGGATGAATGTCCGGAGGTCATACGCGACCTGATCCCGTACGTTCGCATCGAATTTTGATGTGGGATGGTGCAGTCGTCAACCACATGCGACTATAATCAGCTGTTCTTAGCTTCCTCATTGGAAGTCACGAAAAAGCGGTGGGTTTTTCGAGAAGTTGTTGTCCGTGTAATTACCAAAGAGCCTTTCGTCTTTCTGTAAGTGTCACTGAAGCGTTTGGCCTAGTAGATTGTACATCAGAATACCCTTCCAGGCTCTGAAGAAGGCGATACTGCCGAAACATCAGCCAGTGTTGTATTGTATTGTGTTTCTCTATGGAGGTAAATGTATGCTGTTTAAAAACCTCGCGATTGCTGAACAAGAAAAGGACGCATTCCAAGGTTAATAGGATGTCGATCCTGGGAACGAATTAAGCAAAATTACAAGCCAGTGAGATTGTCTAATGATCTGAAGCCGAAAAGTCGTTTAAATACTTTAAAGTCAAATCAGCTCTCTCTAGTGATCTCGGCTTCGTTCCCAAATATCACGAAATCATTTCCAGAGCCAACGATATTGGAAATTACTTCTATAAAGATCCGAATTTCTTCTGCACCTGCAGCAAGAAATGAGGTTGAAGAGTGGAGATCCTCATATATCGAGAAGTAATTCATGAACCAACAGCCATACGCACAATTCTATGTGCACAGCAAAGATGCTCTGCAATGAACAGTTTTCTACTAGTTTCCTTCTACCTTCGGTATCCAAACCCCTTCCGGAAATCACCTCGTCCCTTTCCGCTTTCGGGATTGGCTTTGGAAATGGCATCCGACAAAGTCGTATGCGTTCGAATAAAAGTAAATGAAAAAAGGCTTTTCATTGGAAACTTGCGTGAAACCTTTCACGTCCTTTTCGCATTACTTTTATTCCGTAAAGTTCAGATACACTGTTATATGGCAAGATGCCAAAAATTGGGTGAGACAGTTAAGATACATGAGGCTGCTTAAGGACACCTGGTGAATGAAAGTCATTAGCTGGTGAGCACAACGAAATATCACCATTACAACAAGAACACCATCGAAACCGATGGTCAATGTCTAGCTCGTTGAAAGCTACGGTAACCTTCTTGTCACGAAGGGCACAGAACTCATTGACAACGATGGATACTCCACTGAAATCTGTTGTGTGTATGTATGTATGTATGCATGTATTTCTCAGGAAACTGGTGCAAATTAAACCAGTAATGGAATGCAAATATGCGAGCTGGAGATTATTTTCCCTATCTCAAAAGGCCTTACAACTTTGGTTATCATATCGATATCTACTGCCTCATTGTTAAGGGAAGGGCAGTCTACAAACAACAGTAAAGTCATTTGTAATAATAAGAAAATGAAGATGGTTGTGACTTACTTTTCAGTATTCGTATTTTCACGGGTCTCTTCTAATAACTTTGAGGAAGAAACTGGTTAGTTCCTTTGTATTCATCTTTTTGTAGTTGATCAGGTTTATATTACTTCGCTGTTCGATTGCAGAATATTACACGTACATTGGCACGGAGAAAATGGGCGGATTCAGAGGCACACAACAACCCAAATGTCGCTATTACAGAAATCTTTGCAGAGAGGTATTACGAGAATATTGTTAGGAATAGATGGAACTTCTTCGTAAACTATTTACAGTTCTTCTTCTGTTTTGGTAACTGCAACGAGTTCTTGATTCCAGCCAGCGATTTAAATCATATTGCTGCTGGAAGTTTGTCTGAAGAACAGATCAAGAAGTCAAGAGATATTAAGGTGTGTCTGATCGACTGGATAACCTTTCTGGATAACCGTTTTAAAAAACAAGCGAAATACCCTTCAGCATACATTTATTTATTTTGCATTACTCATCTTTACAAATTGCTTAGATTCCAGTACTCTGAAACCGGCTCATTTTTTAAATATTCTTTCTATACTATAGTCTTCAGATTTGCATGTGAGGCCAGATGCTAGTTGAGGTTCTTCTCTTCTGGTTCCTCCTTTTCTTTCTTCCGGTTCCTTTTTGAATTTGTTCTTTTTGAAGTCCCGAGAGAACTCTGCTGGATCATTCCCAGATTTTCGTCACGGTCAGTAGCAAGATTTCGATGATGTCGGCGAACTTTTCCCGGACAATTCTGGCACCGATACTCATACAGCAGAGATATTGGGGTCTTCATTGGCCTGTGGTAGAATCGAAGCGATTAGCATATTCGCGGAAACTCTTGACGCCGTGATAACCGCACTCCTAGAAATACACATGGACTATCTGAGTACTTGAATAGCCACTTTCTACGGAAAATCGTACTAATTTTAAACACTGCTTTCATTTGACGCTTAGTTTGCTTGTTAGGCAAGATTTCCATTCTGTAGAATCTCAAAATAGACGTGTTAGTTTTAAGGAGTTATTAAATGCAATGACCTGCACTTATGTATGGCAGAATAGGAACATTTGACATCCAGGTTGTTGACATAATAATAGGCTAAGTTATTGTCTGGATAGGGTTATTTTTGTATTGCATTGCAGTTAGCTTGGTTTCCGGATGGAAGTATTTGAGCAAGACTGCTAAGATCATGCTGATAGTGAATCCTCGTATACAACGGTTTACACCCAGAGCCACAACTTAGCCACGATAATGTGATTAAACACTGGAAGTATCCTGTGCATTAAAAAATCGACTTTCCTTTAACCTCGATGTGACCAATCATTGTTTTCCTAGGTGATTAAGCTAAAACGAGGTTGCAATGAAACACTGATTCGCTAGCATTTCGACGTCATCGTCTTTGTCGGAAACAGATCGATCCCAGTCGATGTTAAGGTGGTCGTATTGCGATGTGAATGTTCGTTGTGGCATCGAGTAGAATCGGAGGAAGTGGAGCATCCATCGAATAAAGAGCCCACTTGATGGTGCCTCCCTACACAAGACGGATGTTGATCTACTGTCGGAATTCATATGATCCGTTTTTTGGCGGTAATACACCCTACATCGGTCGGTATCAATACTAGCTGGAAACAGAGTAACAGTACTACTGTGAAAATTTCGCCATATTTGCATCCAGTGATTTCTCTTCATCCATTTTTCATGAAAGTCCTTCAACTTTTGCATTTGTGTTCAGGTGCTACTTGAGAATTGTCGTTTTCGTCATGGGTTTCATTGAACACTGGAGAACTCGCTTCTCCCTCGAGTTTTAGCATGCCTATACTAAAGCATTTTTATGTGGGATGGAAGGAATGACCTAATCCCACGCAAACTGGCGCCATTTACCCGACCTGGGAAAGATAGAAATCTTCGTAGACCTGTGGCAGGTCGACCTAGAACCGTGCTCGTGATGAACACCGCCGTTACCACTGTGCTACCCACCACGCAACCAACATTTGTGTTGATAAATAGAAATTATGATGAAACAGTTAATTCCATGAGTCAACACAGCTGAGATATATGCTCTCGAACATACCTTGTTATAAAAATGGTATATTCATATAGAAATTTTCCTCAAATGATTTGCCGATTAGTTATGGTGCTGAAAGAGTACAAGTCCGAACAGCGCGAACTTCTCTCCTGTCCATAAAAAGCAGCAGTTGCTAATGATGGCGACCTGGGTATATTGAATTAGCACGGCCATTTAGGCTTTTCGGTTGAAATCACGCTCGAATAACACTCAGCATGTTAATAGAGAACGGAGACCACAGTTGTTTAGGTTATACTCAAAACCACAATTTGGTCCAGACCAAAACCACATAAGATATTGCGAAAGAATTCATGTAAAAATATGGTATCATCTACTTGAAATTTCTTCAGCAATCATATTTTCATCATAAAGGCAAACTGTGCTAAACTTCTCGTCAAAACATTTCATAGAACGCTTTCTCGATCCTTGGTTTCCTTGTTAAGCAACAGCGAAGTCATTGCACAGCATACGTTCACTTCCGTACAAAAAACAACTGCAACACCACATTAGCTGGCGTTTCTGCAGCATCGCCATCTTCAGAGCCTAGAAGGGTATAGTGATATGCAATTTACTACTCCAAACGCTTCAACAACATATACAGCAAGATGAAAATCTGTATGGCAATCACACGATCAGCAGCTTTTCGAAAAACCCACCATTCTTTTACGTACATCTCACTGAGGAAGAACAGTTGATTAGAGTCGCATATGGTCTATGAATGCACCCCACATCAAAGTCGATAAGAAGGTACGGGGCGAGGTGAAGTGTGATATCTGGGCATTTCTCTCTGCTGTTCATTGTAGGATTTTTCGCATCTATCCAAAAGGCCTCATGAGGTTGGCGTGTTGGTGTTTGAGCACCCTGTGCGAGGATAGTGGCTTTTGTACCAAATTCGTGTCCGTTATCCAGTGCCATTTTATAATCCAATGCTGAGGTTAATAAAAAGTCGATTCTTAGAAACTTTCTCAACTATTGCAGAAGTTAGTTCACAATTTTACAATTTGGAAAGCAAGTGGACGGAGGATAGCGGAGTAGTTAGTGATGCCGTCAGGAAGCAAGGGCTCTAGTTCGACCATTCCCTTCTCCAGCGCTCTCCCTCAATCCAAGTGTGATCGCCGTAGCGCGACTATCTCGAAGGTTGTAAGGAGAATTGATTCGACCACCATTCTATGATATTCACGAAGAAAAGAAATCCTTAAGCCGAACCCGAAGGAACGCGCGAAATGTTCGATGACCACTATGGGCTGTGGATTTGAAAGGAAAACGAATCGAGTGCAAGAAGTGCTGGCGTGCGCACACTAAATTGTGATGATGAGTCATGTAAAATAAAAGCATAAGAAACAAGATCGAGCATTTCATGAAGTCAGTTTTTTCACTAATTATGTCATTCGAGGGAACGTGTGGCGCAATGGTCGGAGGTACCCTGTAATACACACATGGAATCGATTCCCGCTCCCGTCCGTGGCTCACCAATCCTTCCATCCCTCCGGGGTCGGCAAATTAGTACCAGACATGCCTGGGAGGATAGCAGCACTGACTCGATATGGCGGTAGACCACCGCAAGTCATTGTAAAGGCCAGGTATACGTTGAATCACCTCTAAACGATGCTTAATGAAGTCGAATGCATGACGCATCCCTCAGGGATTGGTGAACGCCGAAAGCTTTATTCCTTAGCTTTTAATATCATTCTAATTGCTCTGAGTGCCTTTAGATTCAATTTTCTTTGAATGGTTTTCTTGAACAAATAGAATAATAACAAGCTGTTGTTTCACGTTTGCTTTCACCTCAATGTTAAAGCGGTGATTTACTTTTATTTCCCAAGCAGTCTTCATGAACAATGTCAGGGAACATAACAATGAGAGCTTATACTATTACTTACAGACGAATCCATGCGTTGCCATGTATGCGTATTGTTTATCAGTCGATTTCTTTCAACTCAGAAGGATCCTCAATCTTGATTTACCTGACGCTTTTTAACAATAAGTAAGGAGGCAAGGAAAACTTTAACCTGAACATTGTTAACAACAGGTAAATTGACATCAGTCTCACATATAAATTATTCGATCACCATGTGTTCCTTGTCAGTACTTACTTGTCAAGAACATAAAGTAAATCACATTAAATAAATGAGGATAAGACATCTTTGATTAGAATTACATAAATAATGTAAAAAGCAATTCAAGACGATCAACAACGAGCACCACAGCACATTCGCTCCCTTTCGAAAAAGTACTCAACGTGACCACCGCAACGGATTACAACTCATTGGCTAACTTAACGTGTTCACAGCATCACGGCTTTGTCGCTCAGGAGTGAAACGCTGAGGTCGCAAAACATAGCCAGATAACGTGCCGTGTTCATAATGCAGTGCTTCGAAGATCACCAGCCAATGCGCTGGGTTCACAACACAGTTACTCATAGATAAGAAGAAACTGTGCCGTGTTCACAACAGAATGGCTTGTCCTTCAGCATCCGAAGTGCCGTGGTCAAAAAGCAGTCTCTCGCAAATGAGCAGACAAAGTGCCGTGCTAATGAAACGGCTGCTCATAGTTAGAAAAAAACTGTGGCGGGTTCACAACAGAGGCGTTCACAGTTTACAACAAGGTTACTCGCAGGTTAAAAAGGTAAAAATGTTGGAGCTGATAAAAGCTCTTGGCCTTGATCAATCGCTGAGGGAGGAGCCAAGCACTCGACTTCACTCAGCATCATTTGAAGGTGATCGAATGCAAATCCGGCCTTTACAGTGACTCGCGGTAGCTCACTGATGTACCGAGCCAGTGCTGCTATCCTCCTAAGCAAGCCTAATCTCAATTTGCAGACCCGGGGATGGAAAGCTTGGTGAGCCACGGGTACAGGAATCGATTCCATGTGTGTGTTGCGGATCGCCTCCGACCACCGCCGAAAGCGCCCGTTAGAGCTGATGGGTTAACAAACATAAGACTTCCTGTTGGTTATAAGATTGGAAAGTTTGAAATACTTTCTTATTAGTTAAAGTGATAAAGAAAAATTAACTTAAAGATGCTTCTACTTATTGCACCTTCTCTGAAAAGGAATTCAGACTCAATATCAAAGATTGAACAACTAATGGGTCAATGTGGCAAAGATGGCTGTTTTAAAACCATCCGTTATTTCTCATCTCAAAACTGAATTACCAGCACGTGCCGTTTCCTACGTCTCATCAAAACTCGTACGTTAATATCTATTGATGATCTTGCGTCTACTGGTCCAACATTATTCAAGGTTAGACCTATCATTAGCTGTATAGACGAACCAAAGGGTGGAATAACATGGTTTAACCCCGAATACTCATTCATTTTTTAAAATACATTCCAGCTCATCTTACGATCACCCAGATGTTCGTGGATAGTCTACATAACGTGTGAACTAACAGCGCGTACATGATGAAGTCCTTCGACATAACCGTCCTTTATACAAGTATGTCGAATTACCTCGCTATGCAAGTCATCCTCGAACTCCTTCTGCAACACGAAGGAGTAGGAAACACATATCGAGAGGTCCTTCTTCAGTTTATAGCCCTCTTAAGAAAGTGCCCACACTGTTCAATCTCCAAATAGTCCGGAAAATACTACGCTCAGTTGAGAGGGATGGCAATAAGACAACGACTGGCATTAAGCCTTACCACTGCATTTTTGTCTATGGTGGAAGTGCCATTAATCGACCTGTAACTTCACTGTAGGTAAACAGATGGTTACTTTGTTATTTATTTGACACAAGAGAGATTGGACAAAAGTTTAGAGTTTCTGAACGAACAGTCGGAGTAAATTACGCTTACCAGAGAGAAATCGAAAAAAAACTGGCTTCCATTTTTGAATATTCAAATTAAGCAATCCGAAGATGGCTTCAACGAAAGCCAAGTAGTAGGAACAAACTGGATCACCGCCTGTCCTCTCACCACTCACACACAGAAAGGGCGTTTGTGGGAAACATATTCAAACAACCATCTATGTGTGCACAGGTACAGAACGGAAAGAAGAATCCCCAAAATTGGCGTGGGCAATAGCAATTTCCAATACTTTTGAAACTGTAGCTTCCCGAGATGGATGAAGAGAAAACCCATGACCCCAAATTATAATTCTGGCCACAATATAGATCCGTTTAACATGGCCTTCATTTCCAACGAAATAAAGCTATAAAACGTTGCTTAAAAACGGCCGGTGCAGAGAATTCCTAAACAGTGATAGAAATACCACCAAGCACTCTAGTACGCCAGGTATTTTACAACCGCCTGTAGAACCGTCCATGTACGATGCGAAATTGTGTTATATGCTTAACGTTAGTGACGGTGATTGAATGAGTTCGTGCACAGTTTAACTGATCTGTTGTAAGGCGTGCGGAACTGAATACATTGGCGAAACACGTAGACCAGTATTCATCAGCGTAAAAGAACATTAAGTTGCTAAACTTAGCTAAACACTTTACTAGATGCGCAAAGGACACAGGTACATAAAGGAGGAGGCTTTTAAATAGAAGTTACTATCCTCAGGAAGGAAACGAAAACTTGGATGCGCAGAACTCTCGAACCACTGTAGATATATTCAAAAGACTTGAAAATGGACAGCAAGAAAAAATGCTTTGTTACAACACGTGATATTAAACGGTGTTTAAGACTTCTATTATAATGTGGCGGGTGGCGCAGTGGTCGGAGGCGCTCTGCAACACATACGTGAAATTGATCCCCGCGCCCACGGCCCACCAAGCCTTCCATCCCTCCAGGGTTAGCAAATTGGTACTAGACCTGTTTGGGAGGATAGCATCACTGGCTCGATACATCGGTAGGACACCACGAGTCATTGTAAAGGCCAGATGCATTCACTCATCTCCGACGTTACTTAATGAAGTCCAGTGCATGACGCATCCCTCAGGTATTAATCGATGCCAAGAGCTTTTTCCTTTTTTATTATAATGTAAAAAAACACATTACATGTCTTTGTAAATTTTGTGCGGTTGGTCTTAATATGAAATACTCAGTGAAAGACTCACAGAAACCGCCGAATGTACGATGGAGCAACTTTCTTTTCAATGCGCTTGAAACATCGGTTTAGGAGTCACTTTTTTTTACTGCGTGTTCTTTTTCTTTTCAAGGTATCTTGTGAAATATAACCACAAAGATGCCGAGATAATACCAAAACTCCTGACCACTGCTGGAACCCGCTATTATCCATTCCGTGTGCTAACATGTTCGCCACCATACCACGCTGGTCCTTCGCGTCTTCTTCTCTCAACGGCGTTTTAACCCATACAATCAGCAATCACCCGTCAACGGGATTGCTCTGGTGAGCACGAGTCGGCGTTGAACCCACAAGGCTGAAGCTGTTGTATAAACAACAATGTAGACACTTTTTATTCAGTGAATGAGTCAAAGGCGAAACGAAGGATTCACATGGCGTGCTGGTGAACATTTTAGTTTCCGGAAAGGGTAGTAACAAGTTCGATCCCACCGCAGACACTTGAGGTTTGGAGTTTTGTAAATATCTCAGCATTATTTTGATTATATTGGTCATGTGTTTTTCCGTTTTAATTTTGGAGATACCTCGCTGCGTAGATTGCTGTCAACTTCACCTTTCGAGGCTTAGAAAAAAGGAGAAATCCTCCTCCACTGTTGTAAATAAACAATACATAATATAAAAAATTCATGAGTAATAATCAAAAACCACTTTACTCATCAATGCCGCGGCCAAGAGAAGGTCTGTCTTGGGATTTACGACAGACGCTCACAGTTCAGCACCGATGTTGGTTTCACAGCAGAATGGTTCACAAATGTGAAGGCAATGTGACTGGTCCATAACAGCGTGTCTCAAAGTTAAGTAGCCAATATCCCTGATTCATAAGAAAGTGACTTGCAGTTAAGAGGAAATAATGTAGAGTTCACAACAGTTCATCAGTTCAGCTGCCGATGGACCGTGGTCACAAAGCAATGGATCACAGATCTATTTTTATCAATAGATGATTCACTAGCTGAAAAATTATTTATGGGACATACTTCCAAACGAAGCTTATCACAACATCTCCGGTGGGTAAGCTACCGACTGATTGCAAGATATCTAGAAAAAAAACTTCTGTGCGCCAAAATATACGCCTGGAAAGAAAATGAGACGTGATGGTGCCAACCCGGCCACACTTGTAGGTGTCAGTCATGGTGTAGTGGTAATAAGAAGAATCTGCACCATATTTTTCCCTTTGTCGTGTTACTTTCTGGTTCATGTTTTGCTTGCACTAACCATTTCCAAAAAATATCGAAAAGGAATAATTTAAATTTGGTAATGAATTTTTAATCGCATAGGGTAAAATGGAAAAAGTTTTGGGTTGCTTTTTCATAATTAGTGGGGCTCCTATTAGGTCACACCACTTTCTACGGAATGTAATCAGAAGCATTGAGTGATATCAGTTAATGCCTGAGATAAGGTTTGCTGCAGTGTAGCCTTAACCTCGTGCGCTCTTTCGACCTCCTTGCAACTTCTTTGAAGTGTCGCTTAACGAGATTTTTCGCCACCAAGTGTTTTCTATTTAGTTGACCAATATTTTAAATAAATATGCTCAAAATTTCCAAAACTTTTCCCATACTGAGGAAATCTGCAAGGTTTTTTTTAGACGAACTGCTATTTTTTCTAGAATGCTCATCACCGTTCTTCCTTTCATTGTCGGAGTGGCAACGGCAGCTGTTTTTCAGCAAACACTCACATGGCGGAAATCTAAAACGGTAGTAGTACCAATCTCAAAAAAGTGTCTTTGTAACCGGGGATAAAATCACTTTTTACAGATGGAAATGATCGAACGAGGAGAATATGCTGCATACGTCAAATACCGTAATGCTCTGCGCGTCTCATCATCCTATAATATCACACAACGGGTAGGAGTAATCAATCCGCTAATCCCCAAGTTCAGGCAGAATCTTTGTTTCTAAAGTTTGTAGTCGGCTTTGTTCATTTTTCGCGACCATTGCCGATAGCGAGAGTAAAAAAAAGCGCAAATATAAATAGGTCTTCTATAGCGGATCCATTTTGGAATCTGGGAAATTTAACTCACAGAAACTATACCGTCCAAGGGCTTGCAATCAGTTCACTGGGTGTAAATGGGAGATGGTTTGGGCAACTGAATTATCCACTATATGCGCTGGTCCTCCCTTCAAGAGAATGGCATTTGATATTAGGTTTGCAAGCACATTAGAAGAATGATTAGTCGAACGAGGTTGTTAGAAAACCATCATTTGCTCACTGGCCAAAAAACTTTTTTGACATGGTACTTTGTGAACTGGTGCTTGATAGAAGTACAACGGTAATGTTTTCTAAAGAAATGTAGAAGTTTTTGTCATTCAACTTGTTTAACCAGACTTTTCAGAACTTAAGGCAGTAAGAACGATCAAGTCATGCGGCATAAATCCATAATGAACTGTTTGTAGCTTTCCATACACATATGTGCACTTCTGCATGTCTCTGAAGCTGGTTGTCAGAATGGTAATCAAACCTGGCTGCAAAAACATATATTAAGCTTATTTCTCGCAAGAAGGGCTTAAAAATTAGGTCGCAATAATGGTGATGTAATGAGTGCTGAGAACTGCTCAATTAAGGTACTTGACTGTGGAGACCACGAATTCGTCGGTAACATCACATTGGGTACACCAGATCAGCAGTTTTCTGTCCTACTGGATACCGGATCGGCAGATCTTTGGGTGCCGGGAAAGGATTGCAAGTGAGTAATTGCTGATGATCAGCTAAATATCACATACACAATGGTGAAATATAATCATAGCTTTTATTTACAATATTGGAGAAGACGGGTCGTTTTACAACGCATTCAGCGATCTTGGCTCGACGACACTGATCAGTGTGATTTGGATTTCGTTTCACATGGAAATTGAACAGTTCCACATACTTTTTCGTCGCTAGAGAAAAGGAGTTTTGTTAAAAGCACTTATTTCCTTAGATGCTTGGACGACTCATCTCCATGAGTATGCGGACCCCAACACATTTCTTTTCCGTTTGGAGATCGTCGTCCAAAAGGGAAAATTAAAGAAGTAGTGGAAAAAATTCGAAATTGAAAAGAATCGGCAAGCGGAAAACGGAGCCTGAACGCTAATTTCTTTCAGTGGCTCATGCAGTGGAAAGCAAAAGTTTGATTCGGACACATCAAGCACCTTTGTGGGCAGCAATAGGACATGGGCAATCAAATACGAATTAGGTGAGGTCAAAGGGATTCGAGGAACTGATATAATGAAGGTCGGTAACGCAGCGACGCAAAATATTTCCCATCTAAAACTGTTACACACTTTTAGTTCGGTGGCTTGAATGAGCAACAACTAGTGGTGCCGAACACCACGTTTTCTCTGGCTACGTATGTTTCGCCGATTCTAGCAAAGGTCGATGAAATTTTTCGAGTTTTAACGCATGCAAAAATCTATGAGAAACGATTCTGCTGCAGGATCACAGTGATGGAGTACTCGGTCTTGGCTTTACTTCTCTCTCCGTAGACCATACCGTGCCGCCGCTTATCAATGCTATTGATCAAAGTAAGACAGCACTGCTACAAATATTTGACAAGGTATTGGGGGTTTTTTGTCATTACAATGTTCTAAGATTTGCTTGATAAGCCACTCTTCACGGTGTGGATACTGCGATTTCGAGGCCTATTCACTTATGGTGCAGTTGATACCGAAAATTGTGGAAAAATTATCGCTTACGAACCCCTGTCATCCGCAAATTACTATCAGTTTAAGGTTTGTTACCAAGCAAGCATATAAATGCCATATTCACAGCCTATAAAACCGCTTTAAGATGTCCGCTATTGGACTTGGAAATTACACGCACGAGAAAGTGTACGAAGCTGCTTCCGACACTGGTACTACATTCATTGGAGGACCAAAGGTTGTCGTCGATCAGTTGGCTAAAGCTGCTGGAGCTGTGGTATAGGTCTTCACGCTTCTAATTTGGTACCAAAATCTTAAAATTTTTCTGTTTCAGTACAACGCTACTGAAAATTTGTACTTGATAGAATGTAATGCCATATTACCCACTCTTGACATCACAATAGGAACGAAAAAATATAGGATCGACTCAACTTATTACGTTCTTAAAGTGAGTTTTACCACGTTCTCCTTCGTCACTAAATCTTTGCTTAGCTTTGGACTAGTTTTTGTCCTTAAGAAAACTTACCTGCTTATTTTATAAAATTTGGGTTAATAAGACGTTGAGATTTAGAAGACAGGAAACACATGTTTCCTTGCAATCATTCCATCCGAATTCGGCGCTTTCGGACCAAATTGGGTGCTCGGCATTCCATTCATTCGCCAATACTGCAACATCTTCGACATCGGACAAAAGCGTATTGGATTTGCCCTCTCATTTTAGAAAAAAATATATTGGTTGAATAAACAACTGAACACCTTTTACAAATGCTCATACGATGCATAGTGCATTTTTATCAACAGGTATATCAGACCTCACAAAAACCTGTTGATTGGAGTTTTTGTAGGCAAAGATGAACTAATATGTAGAATAATGGTGTTTATTACGATTTTTAGAATGTTGATTTTACTTTGCTACTCCATCTTGCCCCTAATCTTTCTCAATTCATGTTTGGTTCTTTGGAAGTAACGGTGCTCGTTTTCCTTCAGTTCTAGCTCGGTGTCCATTTTTTGATGCGGAGAATCAAACTGACACTTCCTACTTTACAGTGGCGCCTATTCCTATTTTTTACTTCTACCTCATTACTGATATTTATTACTATTCATAGCGAAATGGCGAAACATAACATAGCGAAGCATCGGCAGGGAAACATATGTGAGCCGGTCGTATAACTAGAGGAACATACGACAGATGATGTACCAAAGGAGCCACATAGAGTGGACTCCATATGCTTGAAGCCCATGGACGACCACCTACAGGCCGATGGAAGTGTTCGTTAGTAAAGTCAAACAGCTGCAGCTGTTTTACAGACCATGTTATGAAACTCGCATTGTTACCATATCCAAAGTATACCACCACCATGGACAATGATTGCGAGGCAGAGAAACAACTGGAAAATCTGCAGCGTCGGCACAACTTTTAAAGACGTTCAGTCTTAAGAAAATATTTTCATGCCTTTTAGTCTTTATTTCATTTTGTTTTTTAACTTTTTTTCTTGAAAAACCCAGGCTGAAAAGGCGAACAGCTCAAACTGGATGGTTCTCTGGTCCCAGAGACCACCTATTATGTATACTTTGGGCGTTCAATGAACGCGGAGAACAGCATGAAGAAGGAATTAGACAAAAGAAGGAAAGTAGCTCGGGCCAAATTCGAGTCTCTCAAAAAAGCCACCGAATAGACGAAGCGCCTCAGTATCCATGCTCACCTTTTCGTTTAAAAAGCCCTCCAAGGGCTGTTACGCCGCTGAGACTTGGGATGACACTTCAACTACGCCCTTAATGCCACATGCTGGTCACAGAGGACTTGAGCGGTGTTTTCTGAAAGTTAACTGACACACACAACATCCACTCGGAATAAGAAGTCCTGATCTACGAAATTAATCTCATCTTCGACAACCAGGAGAACACACATCGACAGCGAAACAGAAGGACCAGTCATATAATGAGTAGAACAGACGACAGATAAAAGAAAGAAACTGCACAGTGGCCTCCACTAAGATGCTAACTTAAGCCAATGAGTTGTACTTGCAGCTGCAGCTGTTTTACAGATCATAGTATGGCATCCACACCCAATACCATTGCCCGAACCAAATCACCGTCACAGACAACGAGTGTCAGGTAAATAAACGAATAATGAATGTGCTGGGTACGCACAACACATGAAGAGCTACCGTCTGAGTATCTAGGCCAGTACTAATATGATTTCTTAAACGAGTCCTGCGGATCGTTTCGAAGTCTCGCCGTGGAGATGATTTGGCCAAAGAAATAACAGCTGACTTTTTTAACGCAAAAGCCTTTTATTGAAAGATAGACGGTTTGACAAATTTGGCTGAAAGTAAATAATGAGTTTTATAGATTTTGTAAGTTCTATCACAGCAGGAGTATTTTGGTAGGTGTGTGCAAGAGAGGAATTAATCAGTGTATCATTGATTTGATGTGGTGGAATTCTATAAAAATAATCTTAACTCTTTTATTTACTGCCTTTTTCTTCTTAACGGCAGGTTATGTTTCGAATTATAACTCGTATGATATGCTGAGATATTTGCAAAACTCCGGACCACAGGTGTATGCAGTGGAGAATGAACACGCGCTGCTCCCCGGTAAGGACAACAGCGCGTGTTCATTCTCCACTGCATACACCTGTGGTCCAGAGTTTTGCAAATATCTCAGCATTTCATACGATCTATAAAAATAGTTTGAAAAAAGGATAAAGCTCTCGGCGTCTGCAGAGGGCTGATTCATCACAGGTTTTTGAATCTGGGGAAAACGATTACGGCAGAGAAGTATTGCCAACAAATCGACGAAATGCACTGTAAACTCCAACAACAATGACCGGCATTAGTCAACCGAAAAGATCCTACCCTTCACGATAACCGCGGCCTCACGTTGCGGAACCTGAGTTGCAGAAGCTGAACGAGTCCGATTACGAAATTTTCCTTCATCGGCTACATCCAGACCTCTCGCCTAGGGAATATCACTTCGTCAAGCAGCTTGACAACGCCCTGGGCGAGAAATGCTTCACCAACTAAGATGACGCAAAAAATGCTTTCAACGAATTCATCGCTTCCACAACTTAAGAGTTTAACACGACTGAAACAAGTAAATTAGTTCCTTGTCAAAAAAATCTGCTGATTTTAACGGTTCTTATTTCGATTAACAAAATTTAATGTGAGAAAAGTTATGGTCATTTAAAGTTTACATTTAAAATCGAACGTTTCATATGTTACAACCTAATTCTTGCCCCGTGCGATGCCTCACATATGCGTGATGTTCGTGATATGCAACAATCTTATCTTAATCGCGTTCTGTCTATCACCGCTTAAACTTATGCGCTTGAACGGCCGTGCGGGAAGCACAATTGGCAATAATAAACATGAGCAGGAGGACGCTGATATGATATGGCACTCATTTATCAATGGAATCAAAACCATGTGGAGTAGTTCCCAGGATCGACTTTCTCTCAACCTCGGTATTGGAATATGAATGTGGCGTTTTCCTGTTCAGCAATCGCTAGGTTTTTAAACAGCATACATTTACTTCCATAAAAAACACAATACAATACAACTCTAGCTGACGTTTCGGCAGTATCGCCTTCTTCAGAGCCTGAAAGGGTATGCTGATATGCAATCTACTAGGCCAAACGCTTCAATAACACTTACAAAAAGACGAAAAACTCTTTGGTAATTACACGATCAACAACTTCTCGAAAAACCCACCGCTTTTTCGTGACTTCCAATGAGGAAGTTTAGAACAGCTGATTATAGTCGCATGTGGTTGACGACTGCGCCATCCCACATCAAAAATCGATGCCAACGTACGGGATCAGGTCGCGTATGACCTCCGGGCATTCATCTCTGCTATTCATTGTAGGGTTTTTGGTATTTATCCAAAAGCCTCAAGGAGTTTTCGCGCTGGTGCTTTGGACTCCTGTGCAAGGATATTGACTTTTACTTCAAAATCGTCTCCGCTATGCTTTTGTATCCTATGCGTGCCTAGTGGGGTGCTTTGTCTTAGTTTTCGTTTGCCATCTAGGTGTTCTTTTATACGGATACACAAAGGTCTGCCCGTTTCGC